GGTAGAAGGGAAAAATGAAAACATTAAGCTACAAAAATCAATTAAGGGCATCATTAAAAGACTATATAAATATAAAGTTGAATTGTGTAGAGTTATCTCCCTGGGTCTATGGCTCCTTGTTTCATATAAATATGACAAACTTGACATATTTATAAAGAGTTTTGCTAAGAAGTGGTGATAATTTCTTCTAAATATGCTATAGTAATCCTATATTTCTTTATATATCTTCTCTGTGCTTTCATTTACTATGTCATAGAAAAACTAATAAGAATATTTTTCTTATGTTGCAGAGAGGACTTCTGGATATTGCAGTTTCTTTTTTGGCCTATCAGAGTAGCTCTAGACTGAGGTTATATTTTGTGGTCGCGGTATTTTCAGTATGACTGTCACGTGGAAAAGCCTCAAGCATTGAGTGAAGTCCTTTTTCACTTAATCCTTAAAACAGCCCTGTGAGGCAGTTATTAGTAAATCATATCACATCAGTCCCATGCTTAAAAACCGCCTAATGGCTCCTGGTTTCACTTACAGGAAACTCAAGTTCTTACTATGACTATAGGACCCACCCCCACCAGGACTCTGCTCATTTCTTCCCTTCCACCTCTTACGAGCTCTGCCCACATTGTTCCACTTTGTTTGGAGTGGTTCCATCTGTCCTTGAACATGCCCAGCCAACCTGCTTCCTGCCTTGGGGCCTTTGCACCTCCTGTTCTTTCTGCCTGGAATGCTGTAATCAGATCTTTCAGTGCCTGCTCTTTGTCCTCATTAAGTCTCAACTCAAATTTTAGCTTCTCAGAGAAACTCCCTGTACAGGCAATGTTAAAATAAAACAAAACAACCCTCTGTATGGGATTGTCAGATTGAGCAAATAAAAATACAAAACACCCAGTTAAATTTGATTTTCTGAAAGCAAATAGTATTTCAGTGTGTCTTGTGCAATATTTGGGATATACATATACTCAAATATTGTTGTTTATTTTAAATTTTAAATTTAAATTTAATTGGATGACCTGCAATTTATCTGGCAACCCTACCTCCATAGCCACTCTATTATGATATCCTGTTTTATTTTCTCCATGGGACTTGTCACTATTAGAAATTCTGTTCGTTTGGCTTTCCCACTGGAAGATGGGCTCCAAGAGGGTGGGGCCCTGTTGGCCTTGTTGGCAGCTGTATCCCCAGAGGCTATCATATTGCTCAATAAATATTTGTTAAATATTTGTTATAAATGTAAGGAAAACAGACGAACAGAACGCTTAAAGAGGTTGGTGACACGTCCAGTGCATAGTGCTAGCTAGATGAGACTGGAATCTGACAGTGCGGTGTCAAAGCTCTTCCGAGTTTTCCACCTTTCTAGGTGCGGAAGCAGTGGAGGAGTGAAGGGACATTGTCACGTGTCTTTCTAGAGGCTCTCGGTAGAATCAGAAGACCCCTGGAGCAGTAGATTTTGGTAGAAACAACGTAAACTAAAAAGCCTTTCCCATTTGCTTTGCAACGAAGCAAATGAAGTAACCAAAGGAAAATGCACTTAAGTGAAAAGAACAAGATTCTCGGCATTTGGAATGGGGTCAAAGGCAGTGCGCATCCTCCACGTCTTCGTCCACGTTAAACTCCCTGCAACTTTAGGGCTGGCTTTATTGTCACATTCCGGAAACCTCTAGACCTTGATCTCAAGAGAAACTAACGGCACAAGCAAAAAAAGAGCAGGGAGTGGCGGATACGGACGAAGTCAAGACAGAAGAAATCAAACTCTGGTCTTGGACACAGGGCGCTCAGCGGAGTGGGGACAGCCGCGTTCAGCCTCAGAACTCGGTCGGGTTCACCTCTCGGTGCGGACACTGGGTGTTCCACAGGACCCACTGAAGGCGCATAATCTCCACTCTACCTCACTTTCATCGGAATCAGAAGATCGCCAGCGGGCGTGTCCAGCGGCCGACTTAGAGCGAGCTGCGTGGGGAACTGTGGCCGGATCCTGGGGAGCAAGCTGGCTTTGGTCCCTACCTAGCTCCACCCAGGAGCTGGAGGATGGTCCAGGGGCGCTCCCGCGGGGCTGCTGGTTCTGTCTTCAGCCCGATCCTCCCAGTTGTGTGAGTCGTGCGCTCCCTGTTCGGAGGTAGCCGCCCCCGCCGCTGACAGGTGCTGCCCGGGAGACGTCGTGTGCGGTCCCTGGCGCAGCTGGACGCGCACTCCCGGGAGCGTGTAGCTTTCCCGAGCCCGGAGCCTGCGAGGAGAGGGAAGCAGGGCGCGGCCTGGGGGACTCCAGTGGGCTGGAGCCGCGGAGCTCCGAGCTAGAAACTTTGCTGTGGCCGAGATTCGGCCACAGAGTCAGTCCACCCCGGCAGGTGCGGGAGGAAGAGGCGGCGCCGGAGTCCCGCGGCCGGAGAGCCTCGGCGGCGGCGGCGGCGGCGTCTACTCCCCGCTCTGGCCTGAAGCCGCCAGGCACTCCCGGCTTCTGCTGCTGCGTCCGCCGTCGTCGCGGCCACCGCGGGGCTCCGGGAGGAGGCGCAGCAGGAAAGGGCGGAGGAGAAGGAGGAGGAGGGGAGAGGAGGAGCAGGGGGTGGAGGAGCAGGGGGTGGAGGATGGAGCCCCGGACTGCCGCGGCGGGCTCGCCCGAGCCTGCGGCGGCGTCCTCCTCCTCCTTCCAGGCCCGGCTCTGGAAGAACCTGCAGCTAGGGGTGGGTAAGGGCAAGGGCGGCGGGAGCGGGCGCGCTGGAGGCCCCGAGCGCCGCACTGCGGGCACCCCATCGCCTTCCCCGCCACCCCCGGGGGGCAGGCGGGACGCACTGGCCGGCTTGGGTGGCGCGGGAAGCAGGTGGAGCGGCTTCAAGAAACGGAAGCTAGTGCTGGACCGCGTCTTCTCCTCCTCTCAGCCCAACCTGTGCTGCTCTTCGCCGGAGCCTCTCGAGCCCGGCAGCGCTGGCAGAGCCGAGCAGGGGTCCACGCTGCGTCGCCGGATCCGCGAGCATTTGCTTCCCGCGGGAAAGGGGCCGGTGGCAGCGGCGGGAGCAGCCAGAGTGACGCCTCCTGGCGGACGCTCGCCGGACTCAGCTCCTTCTTCGTCCTCTGCCTCATCTTCCTTGTCCTCCTCGCCCCAGCCGCCCCCGAGAGGGGACCGCGCCCGCGATGAGGATGCATGGCGTCGGGGCCCCGCGGCGCACCTGTGCCATCAGAAGAGTTCCTCCCTGCCGGGCACCGCCAGCTTGGAGCAGCTTCTGGAGCCGCCGCCTCCTCCGGCAGAGCCAGCATTGAGCCCAGGAGAGCCGCGGACCCCGGACAAGGGCGAGGAGCTAGGCAGTACCCGGGTGAGTGACAGGTGGGCGCGGCTGGAGTCTAGGTGTGCAGGGCCACGCCCCCCGCTTTGGGTAACCTCGACCCCGGGAGTTGCACGGGGATAGGGGTGCTACCAAGTAGATAAAACAGTGAAAAGAAAACGTCCCGCCCCTGCTGAGTAGAGTTCTGACTTGCACTCTGACTTTACTTTTGACGGAAATAATACTGCGAGAAGCTGTTTGGGTAGCTTTATAGTTGCCAATGAAAGTGGAAGTATTAATGGTAGCCGAATAGGAGAGGAAGAAAGACTTAAAGTGGAGGTCTCCTAAAAGGACTGTCCAGCTAAGTCTCACCTTGTCAAAAGTCAAAACAAACCCAGCAAATTGCAGGGAAAAAAACCCAGAAATGCGGAGAGGTGAGTTAATGGCAAACATGAGGTCCTGTCTTGGGGAAACCCTTTAAGTAGAAGTCTGCTCATCTTCCCGCACTCCCTTTTCAAAACTTCCTGCTGCCAGTGGATCGCTGCCCAACAAGTGGGCAGCTTGAGCGTCTCTTCCGAGTTGGTTGAACAGATATTTCTGTGGCCTAAGTTTTAATAGCCATCTGAAGCAGTTGCGTTTAAATTACTCTGTTTTATCCATCATGTTGACTCGTTGGTCAGGCAAGAGTCAAGTAAAAAAGTACTTGTAGAATCTGTAAAGCGTTCCACTGAGCTACTGCTTTTATTCCTTCGGTTTTGTGGGGTTGTGTAGAGGCGATGTTCTCCTTCTGTAGGTGTTTATGAAATCGTGTTAATGAAATATCTTGAAACTTCCATTATGCCAGGGACCTAAAGAACTCTCTTCGTCCAATACATCTTGGTTTATTTAAATTCTCATTATTTTGACTCTGATTAATTGTCAGATTAATGACATATACATTAAAACTTCAATTAGATTAAAAGTTGGTTCACAAAAATCAATGCTAAGTGATAGGAGTAGGTGAGCTTTCACTTGAAAATTTTTATAGTTTATTGGCTAATTTACTAGTATAATTTCAGAAAATAAACCAGAATACTAGTATGTTTTGTTGTTTAATAAACACAATTGCTTGCAGTAATCTGATATTACTGATGCTCTAGAAAAAGTTTTCAGTTATTCTCAGAAGAGTAGGCAGAGATAATAGTGATAAAAAGCCTAAATAAACCTACCTTTCCTTTTATCTTGAAAGAGCATTGAATAGAACTCCTCTTCTGGTTCCAAAAGTAAGGTAAAAAATGATTTTAAAAGGATGCTTTAAATTCAGTGTAGAAGAATACAATGTTTTAAAGTATTTATTTTTGAGTGTATATATAATCATAATGTATAAGACTTTTAGAGTTAGGGTACCTGTTTACATTTGTTTTTATTAACTTTTAGGATCAAGAATAGTAAAACATAATAATTGAATTATTTTGGAAGGTAAATATATTGCTACAGATGTTAAACTTCCTAAATGACCTTGCAGTTCACTGAACCAAGATATTTTCAAAGCTAAAAGAGAAGACTCAGAATTCATCTTTATTTTCATTTTTACCAAAACATTTTCAGATACTATCAATCTCTACTTAAAAAATACTGCTATGTAATTATGAATTTTTGTCTACAAAAGACCAAAATTCATCTTGAGAAGATACTAAACAAACATTATTGTGTGTGCCTTCACTATAAGCTGGGCCCTTCATATGTGATTTAATCCTCACAGCAGTCCTATATGATAGAAGTTCTTGTTGCCATTTTATAGATTAGGAAATCAGTGCTCAAAGAAATTAGATAATCTTCCCAAGGTCACATGGTGAACATATGACAGAGAGAGGTTTTGTCATTCTCTGTAATGTTTTTCCATCACTACAGCTGTGTCTAACAACTTTTAGAACTTTTTACATTTCTGAGACAACTTGAGTGCTATTAATGAATACTTGCAAGTTTACATATATTCTGGATTCCTAGAATCAGTTCTATGATGGATTAGCTGAATTAATTTGTTCTTTGTTCTCTGTAATGCATTGTTGCATGTCTTTTATGTCATATTTACAAATGACATTACTAATCATACCACTTGTAGTTCTAAAGAAGTTTTTCATTATAAAGAACCAGCATTCCAAGGAAGTCACAGGGGGAATAAAAAAGCCAAAATATCTTTCAAAGAATAGACAAAAGGTGGAGTGTAGGCAGGAAAATAAGCCCTGAGGCTTTATTGTTGATTCCCTGCATCTACTTACTACTCATCATGGAGCCTTGTTCCCTGAGAGGTAGTCAGTTTTCTCTGTAACCAGCACTTTCTCACCAGTGCAGAAGAGAGGATTCCTCAGTCCTCTAAAGACCTCTATGCCCAACTTGCTTACCACTCTAAATGGGGAGAAGGAAGAAATGAAGTTGGAACCAGGAACTGGGAGAGGACTCACTAAGTGTAGGTGTCTGGGTGTAGGCTTAACTCCGCAGCGCCCTTCTGAGCTTCCTGCATGTCTCAGAGGTATTTCCTGGCTCTCCCAGCACCTCATCTCTGAAGAGACCTGGGCATGGGGAGGGAGCCTGAAGCACATGCATATTTCAGTTTTATTCACAGTTCACAGGCACAGATGGGAACACATAAAAGAAACGACACTGAACGCATTAAATCCATCTTCAGATTGCCTAGATAAAAAGAACTTTCTTTCAAGAAAGAGAGAAAATTCATTGCAAAATAAGGCAAGTTGCTCAATTTCTCTTTTGTTCTCTGCTGGATCCTGGCATCAGCCATATTCTCCAACACTCTCCCCACGTCTCCACCCCCCCACCCCAGCAGGAGGCCCCAACAACATATGTGCACACACTCTGACACTGGGTGGAGATATTAAGCAAAAGTAAAAAAACATTTTGGACTGCTAGGGAAAGAGATTTGGAAGTTACTGATGTATAATGATTACAACCGAACAAACCAGTCTACCTCCCGTGCCCCCATCAGCCCTCTCGCTAAGATGTTTTCTTTAGCCAAATATACCTTTGAAACACACTTTAATAGACTTAATAATGCCTTGCCATTGTGGGCATGTGCATTCTTTAAAATGCTCTGCTTTGGAAAAAAAAGGAAAAAAGAAACCCCTTTCTTCCCACTGATTCTAGTTCACATGCTGGGCCATATTGTCATACCAGATGCATTTCATTTTCTGCAACACAGTTGGGAAAGATGCTTTCCCAATTTGTGTGCATATCAAAAAGATGCCAATTTTATGTATTCTGTCTTGATGAGTTACTAAAATTATACTTTGCTAGAATCAGAAAGTCTGTATTTTAAGATAAAGAGTGAGGAATGAATATGTTGCATATTTTTTAGCATTTGTTGAAAGTGTGTAGTGTTTATGAATTTTAAACCTTTGTTTTTTTCAAATTCATTTTGATAAAGTTGCTTTCATAGAGTAATAAAAATGCTTTTGAAAAAAATGGGTAAAATATTCAGGATATGCTAGAACTGTTTCAAAACATAGTAAGAGGAATATTCATTCATTGGGGTAAAATTCCTAAAATGTATATAAAAGCCCAAACAAAAAGTGGATAATGTTTTCTAAGATTGTCTATACATGAAGTAAATCTTGCTTTATTAATTATCTGACCTTTAAAGAAAGCCTATATTTTCGAAAACTATTAAAATGTGATTTGGATAAGTTTTGCTGTTTTTCAGGTGTCTTTAGTATTACTTCAAGGCACATAATTGTCTTGGGGAAAGCAAATATTAAAAAAAAAATCCTAATGTAAGTAACTAAACCCATTAAAAAAAACCCCTAATAATCGAAAAAAATAAGTTCCTGAAAGAAGTGTTAGTAGCTTTTTCAAAGTGAAAGAGTGAGGATGAGATCTTAGAACATTTTGGAGCAGGGTGTAAAGTTTGATGTGTGATTGCCTTCTTGGAAAATATTGGGATCTTCAAGTTATCCCAGAGAAAAGGGCGTAAACAGTGATAGGTTTACTTAGGAGTGGAATGGTTTCCTGTAACCTTTAATTACTATCAGGTTTGAGTAGAGCCATGAATCTTGTATAAATGCAAGTGTTATTGTGTAGATATTGTATAAGGATAACTTGAAACATATCTCAGTCAACACTAGCAATTGCTGTGCTATTACAATTGCTGAACAGTGTATTAAAATTTTGCAGCTGCCATCATTACAAGTAAGTGGCTGTTGAAAAAAATTTACAAGGGCTTTGCTCATCCTTTTCATTTAAGATGTAAATTATTTTCCTTGCAGTGATGGCAAAAGTAGCCCCCAATTAACCCAAGCAGTACTGGTGACATCACAGCTTCACATCATAATGAAAAAAATCTTACATTACTATTGGCAAGTATGTGCACATTGTCATGAAAAAGTGAATAAATACTTTGAGGGATAAAATAAGATTAATGGATTCATAAAAACAGGACGAATAGTCCCCCCTTTTTTTGCACCATTGTTTGGAAATATGAGATGATTTCACAAAATTAAAGGTTGATAATACATCTTTGATACCCTCAAGGAAACATGTAGTATAGTTTCTGCACTCATAATGATTATCGAACTTTACCAACTCTAGATTGATGAAGAGTAACGAACATATGTGTAGATAACATTGTAAGCATTGACAAAATCTGCAGATTCATAAGTTAGGATCATATATTTTTTAGTTAAATGATAATTATTTATAGTATTATAGAGGACATCTGTTTTAGATAAGCAGAAATTAATTTTTTGAAATCTAAAAATTTTTTGTTTTTGCTTTTTAAATTTTGCTTAAAACTTACTACAAATACAGACTATCTTCCTGCCTCAATAAACCAAGCATCCTAAATAAAACCCTTTCTTGATAGCCGAGGGTCATTGCTTGAATACTGGCTCTTTTTTTTTTTTTGGTTTGTTTCATGTGAATGAAATAGATGTTGTCCTAGAACTTGCATTAGATAAGCTTGCTTGTTTTCATAAAATTACAGTGTAAAGCATACTATTTATGATAAGCTTATCTTTTTATAAAGTTAATTATTGAAAGGTATGAGACACTCTTCCTCAAGT